CTTGAGATTTATTTAAACTTATGAAGAAGTCTCTACTCTTTTCATTTTTACCAACCCAAACGAGAGCAAAAGAAGGGGCTAGGAGAAGTAGGGAGAGCACAAAAAGACGGCCCTGTCCCCAATTCCAAGGGGAAGCCCTACCTAGGTTGTTAGCTGTCAATATCTGACCAACAGATGGATCATTCAAAATTCATTCACAAGTGTGCTTGTCCAAAAACTGTTTTAATTACAGGGTAATGAAAGTTTCCTCACTTGTAAAACAGGGATAAGTTAAATACTTAAAGACTTCTTATAAAAACTGAGTAAGTGAATACTTATCACAATGCTCAGCACACTGTACGCTGTACACGTCCTCCTTTACCCCCACGTCTCATGTCCCTTTCTCCTCAGTGCTAACTATTGCCTATGAGGATCACCATTCTACCACCTCTTGTATGCATTTATACTCACAGGCACGTATACAAAAATGATGGGCTCACACTGCAAGAATGGCCCTAAAAATTGCGTTTTCATGTAGCATACCTTGGAAATCTGAAACTCTCCCATAAGGTGACCTTATCCATTTGCATGGCTATAAATACCATCTATGAGCTGATAATCCCCAATTTTATATTGCCAGCCCAGACATCTCTTATATAGCCTATGGACATCCCCACCTGAATGTATTCTAGGCATTTCAAACTTAATGCAGCCAAAGTAAAACTCTTGATTTTCTCCCACAAACCTGTTCTTCCTCTGTCTTTTCCATCTCAGTATGTGACACAACTCTCGATCGTTTCCTACAACCAAAACCTGGGTGTCACCCTTGATTCGTTCCTCTTTCTTACCGCGGACCTGATCCCAAATCTGTCAGTTTCCACACAAAAATACAGCTAATCCATCTATTCTTTTCTGTCATTACTGCTACTACCCTCATCTAAGCTGGGGTGGATACAACACTCTTCCACTCAGTTTCCCACGTCCACTCTTGCACCAACATTCTCATGTTGCAGCCACACAATAACCAGAATGAGCTTCTTACAAACCGGGACACATCAGTCTCCTGCTTGAAACCATTCATCTACTTCCTACTGCTGATTCGAAAGTATTTAAGTCCTCAAAAGCATGTATAATCAGGCCCACACCTAACTTTTCAATCTCCCTTCATGACATATGCCCCCCTTTTCACTGGAATCTAGATACCCTGGCCTCCTCTCTGTTCCTGGAACACCTCAAGTTCTTCCTCATTTCAGTGCCTCTTCTTTTTTCTGCGCTTGGCCTGACTCCCTCCTTATACTTCAGATCTCAGCTTAAACGTCACCACTTTGTGTGCAGAATCAGCCCAGGTATTCTCCATCATAGTTGTCTATATCCATCACAGCACTTACTGTTTGTTGAACCAGCAGAATGTAAGCACCATGAGGGCAAGGACAACGTCTGTCTTGTTCACCATGTTGTTCCCAGTGCCCAAGGCAGTGCATGGCCCCTAATGGGCCTTCAATTAACATTCAGTAAATAAGAGAGAACAGTGCACAGTAACTTAGCCAGGTATTCCTGAAATTTCTGAAAATAAAAACTATTCTAAGACTTTCACTTCTTAAATCATTGAACTATATATGAAACCTTAGTATTCTTCTCACTAAAAATGGAGATATGAGGTATCAAAAGAAAGCATAACTGTCTTCTGTCAACTAGAATTTGAAATAAATGATCCCATCCATAAACAAATTATTTAATAGTTATTAAACAGTAATTAAAACAATAGTTATTAAATAATAGTCACTTGTTTTTCTATGGCTGAGTAATATTCCATTGTATATATGTGCCACATCGTCTTTATCCATTCATCTGTCGATGGACACTTAGGTTGCTTCCACGTCCTGGCTATTGTAAATAGAGCTACAATGAACATTGTGGTACATGACTCGTTTTGAATTATGGTTTTCTTAGGGTATATGCCCAGTAGTGGGACTGCCAGGTCATATGGTAGTTCTATTTCTAGTTTTTTTTTGTGTGTGGGGTATGCGGGCCTCTCACTGTTGTGGCCTCTCCCATTGCGGAGCACAGGCTCCGGACACGCAGGCTCAGCGGCCATGGCTCACGGGCCCAGCCGCTCTGCGGCACGTGGGATCCTCCCGGACCCGGGCACAAACCCATGTCCCCTGCATCGGCAGGCGGACTCTCAACCACTGTGCCACCAGGGAAGCCCTCTATTTCTAGTTTTCAAGGAACCTCCATACTGTTCTCCACAGTGGCTGTATCAATTTACATTCCCACCAACACTGTAAGAGGGTTCCCTTTCCTCCACACCCTCTCCAGCATTTACTGTTTGTAGATTTTTTTGATGATGGCCATTCTAACCAGTGTGAGGTGATACCTCATTGTAGTTTCATGCGGGATCCCCCCAGACCGGGGCACGAACCCGTGTCCCCTGCACCGGCAGGCAGACTCCCAACCACTGCGCCACCAGGGAAGACCTCATTGTAGTTTTGATTTGCATTTCTCTAATGATTAGTGATGTTGAGCATCCTTTCATGTGTTTGTTGGCAATCTTATATCTTCTTTAGAGAAATGCCAACTTAGGTCTTCTGCCCATTTTTGGATTGAGTTGCTTGTTTTTTGATATTGAGCTGCATGAGCTCCTTGTATATTTTGGAGATGAATCCTTTGTCAGTTGCTTCATTTGCAAATACTTTCTTCCATTCTGAGGGTTGTCTTTTCATCTTGTTTATGGTTACCCTTGCTGTGCAAAAGCATTTAAGTTTCATTAGGTCCTATGTGTTTATTTTTGCTTTTACTCCCATTTCTCTAGGAGGTGGGTCAAAAAGGATCCTGCTATGATTTATGTCAAAGTGTTCTCTATGTTTTCCTCTAAGAGTTTCATAGTATCTGGCCTTACATTTAGGTCTTTAATCCATTTTGAGTTTATTTTTGTGTATGGTATTAGGAAGTGTTCTAATTTCATTCTTTTACATGTAGCTGTCCAGTTTTCCCAGCACCACTTACTGAACAGGCTGTCTTTTCTCCATTGTATATTCTTGCCTCCTTTATCAAAGATAAGGTGACCATATGTGCATGGGTTTATCTCTGGGCTTTCTATCCTGTTCCACTGATCTATATTTCTGTTTTTGTAGCAGTACCATACTGTCTTGATTACTGTAGCTTTGTAGTACAGCCTGAAGTCAGGTAGCCTGATTCCTCCAGCTCCATTTTTCTTTCTCAAGATTGCTTTGGCTATTCGGGGTCTTTTGTGTTTCCATACAAATTGTAAAATTTTTTGTTCTAGTTCTGTGAAAAATGCCTTTGGTAGCTTGACAGGGATTGCACTGAATCTGTAGATTGCTTTGGGGAGTACAGTCATTTTCACAATGTTGATTCTTCCAATCCAAGAACACAGTATATCTCTCCATCTGTTTGTATCGTCTTTAATTTCTTTCATCAGTGTCTTATAGTTTTCTGCATACAGGTGTTTTGTCTCCTTAGGAAGGTTGATTCCTAGATATTTTATTCTTTTTGTTGCAATGGTGAATGGGAGTGTTTTGTTTGGATGGGCCTAGAGTCTGTCATACAGAGTAAAGTAAGTCAGAAAGAGAAAAACAAATACCTTATGCTAACACATATATATGGAATCATAAAAAAAAAAAAAAAAAAGGTTCTGATGAACCTAGGGGCAGGACAGGAATAAAGACGCACACATAGAGAATGGACTTGAGGACCCAAGGAGGGGGCAGTTGGCAAGCTGGGACAAAGTGAGAGTAACACTGACATATATACACTATCAAATGTAAAACAGATAGCTAGTAGGAAGCAGCTGCCACATGCAGGGAGATCAGCTTGGTGTTTTGTGACCACCTAGAGGGGTGGGATAGGGAGGGTGAGAGGAAGACACAAGAGGGAGGGGATACGGGGATATATGTATACATATAGCTGATTCACTCTGTTATACAGCAGAAACTAACACAACATTGTTAAACAATTATACCCAATAAATATGTTTTTTAAAAAAAGTCACTTGTTTTGTTGATTATATAGCAGTTAAATGTCTCAGATTAAAAGTACTCCCAGTGCTCTTTTTGGGTGGGCTCACCTAGTCCAATCAAAGCTACCCCTGCAGTTTAGACCAGCCTAAGGCTGAGAAGATCTGCACAGTGGTTTTTTTGGGGTTTTTTTTAAAGTAAATTTATTTAACTTATTTTATTTATTTATTTTTGGCTGCATTGGGTCTTTGTTGCTGCACGTGGGCTTTCTCTAGTTACGGCGAGCAGGGGCTACTCTTCGTTGCGGTGCGGGAGCTTCTCACTGCAGTGGCTTCTCTTGTTGTGGAGCATGGTCTCTAGGCGCGTGGGCTTCAGTAGTTGTGGCACACGGACTCAGTAGTTGTGGCTCACGGGCTCTAGAGTGCAGGCTCAGTAGTTGTGGCACACAGGCTAGGTTGCTCCATGGCATGTAGGATCTTCCTGGACCAGGGCTTGAACCCGTGTCCCCTGCACTGGCAGGTGGATTCTTAACCACTGCACCACCAGGGAAATCCCTTGGTCTTGGTCTTTTGTTGTTGTTCTTTCTTTCTTTTTCTTTTTTTTTAGTTTCTTTTTATTCTTTCACATAGTGATTTTGTGAAAATACTAATAACCAATGGACCATACTCACTTTTTCAAAACATAATCCTTTTTCCCACAAAACAGAAGCAACTACAAGGACTAGGACTGCATGAGATGACAGATGTTAACTCAGCTTACTGTGCTCATGATTTCATGGTATATGTGACATCAAATCATTATGCTGCACACCCTAACTTATACAGTGCTCTGTGTTCATTGTATCTCAAGAAAACTGGGGAAAAAATGTATTTAACCTTACAACCCATGAAAGGTATGCAAATAAAAAGAATGACATCCTCTCCCCTCCCTCCCCAAAAGAACTAGGAATATAGACATAGAGCAAAAGAAATTCTCACAGACTGCTGCTAGGAGGATAAACTGACAACCACCATTGGTGAATATGATAAAATAAGGATTTCTTACTTGACTGCCTCGTAAATATTGTTGGAGGTATGTCCTGATAAGGCATCATGTAAATTTCGAATAAAATAATCTCTGTATTCTTCTGGAAGGGCCATAAATGTTCCACCCATCACAATAAATTCCACTTTATCCACACTGTGACCAAGTTGTTTTAACTGAAAGACATAAATTCATCAGCATTAGAAAGATATGGTCAACTACCCTAAGAGGGTTATTGCAAATTTCTAATTTTACTTTGCAGTGTTCTCATCAGTATAGTTTAAAAATGAGAAGCAAACATGTTAAGCAAATTCTATGGACTAAAAAAAATAGACTCCAGGGTGTGAAAAGGAAATTATTGCTCAAATAAGGAGGATGAGAATTAAAAATAATAAACAACAAGCCTGATGTCAACTTACAGAGTTAAGTGAAAATGTAATAATACAAAGAATATAAATTAGAGAGCAGCAAAGCAAATAACACAATATGTAATAGAATAAACAAATATTTATTGATTACATATTTTATGCCAGACTTTGTGGTCAGCATTGGGGATGAAGACTATATGCAACATAATCAGGACTTGATGCAAGTGAAAGAAAGAGAACACTAGATTAGAAAGAAACGTTAAGAAAGCAGTTTTAAATTAAAAGTTTTGAATTAATTATGAAGTTTCTGGGTACAGGTAGCACCTTAAGCCTAGTTTCAGGGGTGGGGGAAGGACAATAAAAGTCTGAAATATGACATCTCTTCTATTTGGGAAGAGAATGGTATAGATCTTTCAGTTTTTCAACTACAATAAGGCAAGATTCTAAGTTTTAGAAACAGGTATTTGAATTTCTTGCCATATCTTGGGCCTGAGAAAAACTAGGTCAAGCAGACTACAAATTATGAACTCTAATGTACTACGTAAAGAGGATGCCCACACTTAATACGAGCAAAAAGTTACTTTGTTTTATACTTGTTTCTGAAAATGGCAAATAACTTATACATACATACATCCTTATACATATGTAAATCCTTACAGATACATAAGCATATGGGCATGCATGTGCATACACATGCAAATATATACCTGTAAGTAACGTGTACATAGCTATCAACACTAAAAGAATACTCTATAACTATGGTTGTTTACCAGGAATACACAACAAAATCTTCCTGGTAGCTTTTTCAAAATATCTTGCCTGGACCCTAAACCAGACTTAATCAGAACTTCAGCAGTGAAATCTGGCATGTGTTTTGGAAAAGTTATTCAGGTGATTCTAGTGCATTTACAGTTCGGAAAAGAATCACTACTCTCTGGTAGTTTCTAAAATCTTTCAAAACCCATGCTCCTGTTTGGTAAATATAAACATTTCGAACTCTACTGAAACACTTCAAATGAGTTAAATATCATGGCTAAGGGAATTCCCTGGTGGTCCAGCCAGTGGTTAGGGCTCTGTGCTTCCACTGCAAGGGGCATGGGTTCCAAAAAAAAAAATTATGGCTAAAAAAGAAATTGAAGCAATGGTCAGTTTAGGAACTATGCTGGCTCCCTGCAGGTGGGGTCCTCTCCTACAGCTGACAATCCTGACCCATATATGCTTGGGTGACAATGATGTGAAAATTAGAAGTGGCTGGTATCCACTCGTAATTACAACAGTTAAGCACAGAAGCGACTTACTGACTATGGTATGTGCTACTTTCCATTTGAGCTTTTCTAGTTGTCTTACTAGATGTAACTATAAAAACTATGGACAGTGCTTGCATTGTTTGAAATTGGACAAGTTTAAAATAAAATGGTGAAAAAGAAAATCTGTATTAATGTTCAGAGTTCTTGAACAGAGCAAGGCCATCTACACAGTACTTGTTTTTAATCAGTTATATTGAGGTATAATTTTTTTTTTTTTTTTTTTTTTTTTGGTGGCTTTGCCATGCAGTTTGCAGGATCTCAGTTTCCTGACTAGGGATTGAACCCAGGCCACGGCAGTGAAAGCCCGGAATCCTAACCACTAGGCCACCAGGGAACTCCTGGGGTATAATTTATATACAATAAAATCCACTAACTTTAACTGTACAGTTAAATGAGTTTTGACAAATGTTTAGAGTTGTGTAACCACTGCCACCAGCACCACCAGTATACAGAACAACTCCATGGCTCCCAAGAGTCCCTCATCCCCCTACACAGTCAATTCCCCATTCACACCCCAGCAAACCAGTCACAATACTTCTCACTTGGCTTATGGAAGCTAAAATTCAATCCACCCACCTATTGTCTAAGACATAGCCACATTCTGTAAATTTCATACCATAAATAACTTTCTACAAATCGAAAGAACTTTAGAGACTATAAACTCCTTGCAGAAGATAATCCAGTCTTTAAAGGAAGTTGTGCTCTTGACCTTGCTATAGGTACTGCAAAACAGTCCCCCCACCTCAGATGGATATTAAAAACTTACAAAGGGGAGAAATATTCTTTCAGTTCTTATTTCTGGTTCAACTCAAATCAAGCAATAATACCTTCTAAGTATAAAGATCTAATGTAACAATGCTTTTTAAAACCTTACCTGTTCTATTCGGTGTCTTGTCTGTAGATAAGGGTCATACCTAGCACGGATAGCTCGCATGGAGGTTGGCTAAGAAAAAAGAAAAGTATCCTGTTATGCCCACACTGAATTAAGAAAAAAAAGTTTCAAAAGGGTATTAAAAATAAAGTTCCCTTGGGCTCCTTTCTTCCTCTCTCAGTCTTGTCAGGGTTCAAAATAATGTCCTGACTAGCATTTGGCTGGTCTCCACTCAACAGCAGGCAGCTCCTTGGACCATAGTTATATCTTTGTGTAAACGCTTATGGAATCCCCAGGGTCACCAAATTGTTATACTGCTCACAGACATAGCTGTGTATACACATTCAAAACAGTTACTTGATAAAATAACCTTTAAACCAGATTAAATATCAATACAACAATAGTTTGTAATGGTTTAACAAAAAGCCATCATGCTATCATACAATGGAATAGTCTACGGCCATGAAACAATATACTGATATAAAATGTTCCCTAAGATACATTGTTAAATGAGAAAGGTAAGGTGCAAGGTTTTGATAGACCACCTCCTGTGTAAAAAGTTAGGATAAAGAATATGTACTGCTTTTATATCTATATACTATCTCTGAAGGACATATAGGAAGGGGATGATACTGATTGTCTTCGGGGGCTGGAGCAGAAAGGGGTGGCCAGGGGAGAGTGATGAGAGGGAGTCTTCACTGAAAAATTCTTTTTGTATTTTTTAAAATTTGAACTATGAAAAACAGGTAAGAAATGAAAAACCATGAATAAGAAAAAAGTCACATGGTTTCCTGGCTGCTGGCCTCTTCGGATGAGGCCGACGGCTTCGAAAGCCTGCTCGCTGGCCTCCTGCTTTCACTCTTGCACCCGCTCTAATCCTGCCCTCACAGAACCATCAAATGATCTTTTAAAAACCGACACTTTAAACCTGGATGGCTTTTCACGACACCTATAACAAACTCCTTGCCCTGGCTTACAATCCCCTGCATCACCCGTCTCCCGAATCTCATTCTCCCCTCACCTGCTCTGCTCCAGAGCCCCCCACTGTCATTCTGAGCCTGGCTCTGTGTTCCAGCTATTCTCTCTGCTAGGAGTGCTCTTTCTTGGTATTCTTGAAAGGCTCTTTCTTGTCATTCAGGGCTCAGTTTAAATGTCACCTCCTCAGACCATTCCTTCCTAGCCCCCAAGGCTGAAGTATCCACCCTGCTACGACACCTTACTTGACTTTACTTCCCTGCTTTGCATTTACTAGTACCTGATTTTTTTTCTTGTTTGTTTCTTTACTGTCTACCCCCCATTTATTAGAATGTAAATTCCTCAAGACCCGACCTGTTTTTTTCACAGCTGCAGAGGCAGGACAATGTACTGGTGAGGAGCACAGAATTCAAAGCCCGGCCCTGTTACATATTAGGGGCGTGTCTCCAGGCCAGTCGTGTAAGACTTCTAGGCCCTGGTTTCCTTATCTAAAAAACTGGGATAATAATAGTGTCTACCTTCAAAATTCTGCTGTCAGGTTTAAAGTTGTAAAGCACTTAGAACAATGTTGATATATTAATAATAAGTGCTTACATAAATATTTCTCCAGTGACTAGAACAACAGACACTCAGCAAATGTTTGGCGGATGAATAACTTATGTAATCAGGAAAAAAATAAAAAATAAAAATTTTAAGAAAGCCAGTACTTATAAAAGCATACTCTTAATAAAGTATGCTGTAACACTCCTCAGGACAGCCTCACATTACTTTACCTCATATCCAGTATAAGACTGGGTCGAATATTCAAAGTCTGAATCAGGTCCACCAGGGCAGTATCTGCCAATACAATAAAATGAAGATGTCAGATACAGAACTTAGTTCAACAGTCTAGTTCAAGTATCTACAGGCTCTGTAAAATCCTGCCTGAACCAGCTTCATTTTCGAATCCTAACAGAAGGTTGCACCTTTGTAGTATCTGCAAATATATACATTTTCTACTAACAAGTAAAAAGATAAACATATAAAGGAACATTATTACAGTCATTTTCAGAGTATTGCAGTCACTATTATTTTAGAAGTTTAAGCTTTTAGGGGCAAATAACCGGGCCTAAGTTTTCCTAAGTTTGGATTGATACTCACAGTGCTCTCTTGGTAACTACACTTAAGAAATTCTTTCTCCTGATTAATCTTCCTGTCTAGAGTCATGAATATTCTTCTGCTAATTTTTCTAATTATCTAAATTTAATAAGTTTAAAGATTATTAGTAAGGATAAGTTTTTACTTTGATACTTTTCTGATCCAAATTCATTATAAACTTCTGACATTTGGAATTTAGGCAGCTCATATTTCCATGTATCATTTATCAAGTTAACAGAATATCTACTGTTTTGAGTTCTGTAACCTATGAATTTTTTTTACTGTGTACTGCAACAAATTAAAATCTTTATATGCTTCATTTTTAAAGCATTGAGACATCCTACTAATAGGTGCTTGTTTCAAAGAACTAACTTATGAATATATTAAGTCAAAGTTTTAAATATTACCAGGGAGTTCCCTGGTGGCCTAGTGGTTAGTTACGCTGGGCTTTCACTGCTGTGGCCCGGGCTCAATCCCTGGTCGGGAAACTGAGGTCCCACAAGCCATGGCCAAAAAACAAATACAAACACAAAAAAGTTTTAAATATTACCAGCATGTATTGATCAAGGCTCTAGGGGACTTACTGGTTCAATTCAAATACACACACATACACAACTTATCACAATCATCATACTCACACACATATGTTTCCTGTAAAACTGATGTGTGGACATCTGTGGGGTTTGCACATGACAGCCACAACAGCAATCTATAAAAGGAAGATCAATAAAAAAGCAATTATGAAATAATTCATACAGGCGGCGCGGGTGCCATCCGCTGGGGCTCTGCTCTCCCTGTGCGAGCCCGCGCGTCCTTCCCAGCGAGGTCCCTGCGCGGCGCGGCCAGGCTCAGTGCGATTTTGACAGCAATCATATCAAGCTATTATGAAGTGTGATGTCAGTCTGGAGGACGGATAATATATAAGCCAGTTCCCGACACGCTATCTTACAAGGAAACATCTGAGACCATCAGTCCACTTCACTTTGCCATTGAACGTGAGCCCTATAGGCATATAATACATAATTGTTGAAGTGTAACTAAAATGTGGAAAATATATCTTCTTCTGGCTCAAGGAATATTATTATAAAAGAGTTAAAAACTGTGGCCTTTCATTTATACAAACGGAAAATTGTATTGACTTCTCTCAAGTAGTAAGGCTTCTAACGTGAGGAAAAACATGGAATGACAAGTGTGGGAAAGAGCAAGCACTAAATTACTGTCAGAAAAATAAACTGAGTAGCACAGTGGTGCTCAGTGATTTACGGGGGCAATTAGTCACCACCCCACGGCGCTGCTGAGGACAGCATGGCAGCAGACTCGCCAGGCCCGAGCGGAAGAAGAGGCTTTGCACTGCTCTCCAGACAACTTTTTAAACAAGAGAGGATATTTGAGCACATTAGGTTCCATGTCTTCCTTCTGGGTGCCCACCCTTCACATTATTCAACCAACCTAATACATAAACATATTTTTAGCACAATATTAACTTGTTCTGTGTGTGTTAAAAAGACCAACTGCAGCTTTTTTCTCTCCCACTGTCCAAAGTAGGTGTTTCCCTATCCCGTAAAAAGCAAAACAAACAAACGGAAAAACCCTTTTCCCACTCACAAATTGTCCCCCTGATGTGTGCCTTCGGTCTGTCTCATTACTTTTGCATCTTGCTACTATGTTCTATATTTGCTCAGAGCCACTGGGTGCTAAGGAATTGGTCTGCTGCTCCTCCAGGGAAGTTTGGTGAGCTGGTACAAGGAGATGATAAACAAGGCCATAAAACAGAGGGTAAATGAAAAAGATACATAAACTTCCTGGTATTTCTTTTTTTTTTTTTTTAACATTTTTGTTGGGGTGTGGTTGCTTTGCAATGGTGTGTTGGCTTCTGCTGTATGGCAAGGTGGGTCAGCTGTGCATGTGCATGTGTCCCCATGTCTCCTCCCTCTTGCGTCTCTCTCCCAGCCTCCCTGTCCTGCCCCGCTGGGTGGTCACAGAGCGCGGAGCTGATCTCCCTGTGCTGTGTGGCTGCTTCCCACTGGCTATCTATTTTACGTTTAGTAGTGTATATATGTCCATGCCACTCTCTCGCTTCGTCCCAGCTTACCCTTCCCCCTCCCCGTGTCCTCCTGATATTTCTTAACATGTTCTTTAACATACTTTATGTACTGCCTATGTATATGTGCATAACAAAATAGGCCTGGTAAAATGTAAAAAAAAAAAAAAAAAAAGAAATAATTCATACAAAATTCTGGAGAGTTGTTATCGTGCGGAAAGCGGGAAAGGAATGCAATCAGAGGGTGGCACACAAGGGGGTTTCAAAAGTACTGGTAATGCTGTATTTCTTAAACTGAGCTGTGGGTACCAGGGTCATCTCTCTTCAATATTATTAATCTTCAGAATGTACATATGCATTGTATACACTAGTTTGTATTGTATTTTACAATAAATTAAGTGCAAAATAAGGAATTAATTTTTAAAGTCACGGTGATTCTTATTCTCTCTTGCTCTTTCTGATTTGTTTTAATAAAATAGCCTACAAGAGAACAATTACTTATGCAATTCTGTAAAATTATATCTAAACCTAACCTTTGTATCTCAAACTCTTCCCAATAGATCTCAATATTTAGAATAGAGACTATTAAACTGGAGTTAGACTTCAGAGTGTGTGCAAGATATTCTCAGAGGGGTCTGTCAGAGCCCAGTGGGGTAGGAAGAGCATCTGCTTGAGAAGGACGTGATGGCAGAGTTAGACAATCAGTTACATATGGGGGCAGCTGGTCAAATAAGGGTATACACTAAGATGAATGCAAGCCAGGTTTCTTACTGTCAGAGAAGAAAGTTATGATTTTTTAATTTATTTTATTGAAGTATAGTTGATTTACGATGTTAATTTCTGCTCTACAGAAAAGTGATTCAGTTATACACATATATTCATTCTTTTTCATATTCTCTTCCATTATGGTTTATCACAGGATATTGAATATAGTTCCCTGTGCTATACAGTAGGACCTTGCTGTTTATCCATCCTATATAAAATAGTTTACATCTGCTAGCCCCAAACTCCCAATCCATCCCTCCCCAACCCCAATCCCCCATGGCAACCACAAGTCTGTTCTCTATGTCTGTGAGTCTGTTTCTGTTTTGTAGTTATGTTCATTTGTATCATATTTTAGATTCCACATATAAGTGATATCATATGGTATTTGTGTTTCTTTTTCTGACTTACTTTACTTACCATGTTGCTGTAAATGGCGTTATTTCATTCTTTTTTATGGCTGAGTAGTATTCCATTGTATATATGTACTACATCTTCTTTATCCATTCATCTGTCGATGGACATTTAGGTTGTGTCCGTGTCTTGGCTGCTAAGAACATAGGGGTGCATGTATCTTTTTGAATTATATCAATAGTTTTATCCAGATACATACCCAGGAGTGGGATTGCTGGATCATATGGCAACTCTATTTTTAGTTTTCTGAGGAACCTCCATACTGTTTTCCATAGCGGCTGCACAATTTACATTCCCACCAACAATGTAGGAGGGTTCCTTTTTCTCCACCCCCTCTCCAGCATCTGTTATTTGTAGTAACTTTTTAATCATGGCCATTCTGACCGGTGTCAGGCGGTACCTCAGAGAAGAAAGTTAAAATATGCAAAGGGAGAGAATTAGAATGAACTCTGTGGGTTGGATGAAATTAAAGGTATTGTTGTGGACTCACAGTACACACACACACACACACACACACACACACACACATACACACACACAAATATAGATGCAAATGTGTTATGTATATGTGTGTGCATGTCTGTACATATATATTTCCTAGTTTGGTCCACGGAGAGGGACTGGGAGCAGCAACACCCTAACGGCATTGAGCACATCTAGCACTCAGATCTTTGATTCTAAATATTCTTCTCCGCTAAAAGAAACCAGGGCTCCTTGGAGAAACAGCTGATTCCAGGGCTGGGGTAAAGAAAGTACAAGATGAGCCTGGAACATTTTATTATGACTGAAAGCTAGAAACTGCTCAAAGAATGATGGGGACATTTAAAAAAGAAACAGAAACCAGCTTGAAAGGGCTCCTACTGGTCAAAACTGGGAAAATTTGTACATCAAAATAAATAATGATGGAACAGATTATAACCCACCAAACAGGAAACCATTTAATCCATTCACACAAATGAATGAGGAAACTGGAAGTCTGATAAGGAACAGGATATTTGCATAGTTTCAAAGTACTTCACCGGGCTTCCCTGGTGGCGCAGTGGTTGAGAGTCCACCTGCCAATGCAGGGGACACGGGTTCGAGCCCTGGTCTGGGAGGGTCCCACATGCCGCGGAGCAACTGGGCCCGTGAGCCACAACTGCTGAGCCTGCACGTCTGGAGCTTGTGCTCCGCAACAAGAGAGGCTGCGACAGTGAGAGGCCCGCGCACCGCGATGAAGAGTGGCCCCCGCTTGCCGCAACTAGAGAAAGCCCTCGCACAGAAACGAAGACCCAACACAACCATAAATAAATAAGTAAGTAAGTAAGTAAAATTTTAAAAAGTACTTCACCACACAAAACTTCTTAATTACAAAGTGGAAAAGAATAACTTTACAAAGGGGACGCCTAGCAGACATCACCTTGATCAAAGACAACAACAGTGACAGGACAACAAACTATGCACCACCTGACAGGATATAATAAGAACACAGTATCACTTCTGTGATGTTCCTGCCAGAGATACAAACCCGAATCTAATTATGAGGACACATCTGATTAAACCAAATTGAGGGAGATGCTACAAAACAACTTGCCTGAAATCTTCAAAAGTGTTAAGGTAATGAAGTAAAAGAAAGACAGAGAAGTGTCCAGACTGAAAAGCCATGACAACTAAACGCAGCACGTGATTCTGAACTGGGTCCTGTAGGTCATTACTGACACACCATTAGAAACCTGAATGAGGTCTGAGGACTAGATGATGATAATGTATCAGTGTTAAATTTCTGATTTTGATGGCTGTATTGTGGTGATGTAAGAAAATGGTCTTGTTTGTAGGAAGTACACACTAAAGTATTCAAAGGCATCGGCTTTGCAACTTACTCTCAAATGGCTCAGGGATAAAGTGTTCTTTGTAGTGGCTTTTCAATTTTTCTGTAAGTCTGATTATTTTTTAATAATAAAAATGATTAAAATTGAACTTAAATCATTAGTGATCTAAAGAAGCTCCAAAATAAATAATTTTGCAAATCAAGGGCTTCCCTGGTGGCGCAGTGGTTGAGAGTCCGCCTGCCGATGCAGGGGACACAGGTTCGTGCCCCGGTCCGGGAAGACCCCACATGCCGCGGAGCGGCTGGGCCTGTGAGCCATGGCCGCTGAGCCTGCGCATCCGGAGCCTGTGCTCCGCAACGGGAGAGGCCACAACAGTGAGAAGCCCGCGTACCGCAAAAAAAAAAAAAAAATTTTTGCAAATCTGAATTAAAAACTTAGATTTTCAAACAAATGTTTGTATTTAAAATGAGACACAATTGGTATATGTATACCACTGATGAGGTCAATCTAATTTCCCAATCTTTTATTGAGGGCCTGCAATATAGGCCAGGTTCTGAGCTACACAGAGCAGGTGGGCCCTAAGACTACAAATATATTAATGCACTGCCTCTGTCCTCTGAAATCATACAAGCTAGCAGGGGAGGAGGACATAGAGAAATAGGCTATTTCAAAACCACATGGTAAGAAGCATGTGGTAAAAGAAAATACTAGGGATGCCCAAAGAAGAGGATTAATTAGCCCTGACCAGGGGCGTCAGGGAAGCCTTCCTAAGGGGTTGACAGCCATGCTGAGCAAGAGTTAACTGAGCTAAGAAGGCAGAGGGACATGGGGACCAGGGAAGCAATGTGCAGGAGTTTTCAAGCATTTCTTAAGTGGCTGAACTCTCCCATCAAGTAATGTTTTACTTAGAACATCAACTTACAGAAGAGAGAAAAGCAACAGCCCTGGGTGAAGTAGAGATGGGGCCTGCTCCCACGGCTTCCCTATTATGCCCCACAGCGGCTCCTAAAACACTTATACGGATCCTGTAGTTTTGTAGAATACAGCTTAAAGATTACTGATAAGGTAGAAAAAGCTATGTCTTTGGAGTCAGCCAGAGAGATGAACCTTTGAATCTTTTCTCTGCCTCTTACTGTGTATTTTCCTGTTTTGTAAAATGAAGACAATACTACCTACCCTCAAAACAGTTTTGAGGATTAAATTAGAAAACACACCAGTGCAGTGGCTGGTATGTAACAGGTGGGCAACATATGGTCACTACTGTTGCAGTGAGTAATGATACTACTCTGAATAATAAAAATCATGATTTTCAAAGCAAAAAAACCAACCAAATGAACAAAAACTCAAATACAAACAGACTCAAAATGGATCACAGACTTAAGTATACTAAAAAGGTATGCCACAGACTGGGAGAAAATATTTACAAAACACATGTCTGATAAAAGACATGTATCTTAACTACTAAAAAAAAATCCTTAAAACTTCACAATAAAAAAACCAAACAACCCAATTAGGAATAGGGCAAAAGACCTGAAGAGACACTTCACCAAAGAAGATGCACTGAAGGCAAAATAAGTATATGAGAAGATACTCAACATCGTATGTCATTCAGGAATTGCAAATTAAAGCAATGAGATACCACTACATACCTAAGAGAATGGGCAAAATCCAGAGCACTGACACCACCAAATGCTGATGAGCTTGTGGAGCAACAGGAACTCTCATTTACTGTTGATGGAATGCAAAACAGTGCAGACACTTTGGAAGACAGTTTGGCAATTTCTTACAAAGCTAAACGTAGCCTGACCATATGATCCAGCAATCATGCTCCTAGGTATTTATTTACCCAAATGAGTTTGAAAACTTTTGTGTATGCAAAAACCTTCAAACAAATGTTTATCGCAGCTTTGTCCATTATAATTGCCAAAAATTGGAGGCAACCAAGATGTCCTTCAATAGGTGTGTGGATAAACAAATTGTGGCACACTCAGACAATGGAACATTACTCAGTGCTAAAAAGAAATGAGCTATCAAGCCACTAATAGGACATGGCATAACCTTAAATGCCCACTGCAAAGTAACAGAAGCCAATATGAAAAGGCTACAAAATATACTGATTCCAACTATATACCATTCTAGGAAAGGCAAAAAGTAAACAGATCAGTAGTTGTGAGAGGTATGAAACAGAGGAAATGATGAGGGGAGTTTTAGGACAGTGGAACTATTCCATATGATACTGTAACGGTGGATACGTGAAATTATGCATTTGGTAAAACCGACAGAATGTACAACACTGTGAGTGATCCCAATGTAAACTACAGGCTTTGGTTAATAAGAAGATAGCAATATTGGTTCATCAATTATAACAAATGTGTCAAACCAATGCAAGGTATTAATAATAGGGCAACCTGGGGAAGGGGGAGAGGAAGTATATGGGAACTCTCTGTGCTTTCTGCTCAAATTTTCTGTAAGCCTAAAGCTGCTCTATAAAAAAATATAAACAAAGCACTACAGTAACAGCAGAAGTAAAAGCATGGAGGTTAGTGGGCATATATCTGGAGAAAACTATAATTCAAAGAGATACATGCACTCCAATGTTCATAGCAGCACTATTCACAATAGCCAAGACATGGAAACGACCTAAACGTCCATCAACAGATGAATGGATAAAGAAGATGTGGTACATATAAACAGCAGAATATTAGCCATAAAAAAATAATGAAATAATGCCATTTGCAGCAACATGGATGGACCTGGAGATTATAACACTAAGTCAGTCAGAAAGAGAGATAAATATGTGATATTGCATATACGTGAAATCTAAAATATCACGCAAATGAACTTATCTACAAAACAGAAGCAGACTAGCAGACACAGAGAACAGACTTGGGGTTGCCAAGAGGGAGACATGGTGGGGGAAGGATGGATTGGGATTTGGGGATTAGTAGATGCAAACTATTATATATAGAATGGATAAACAGCAAGGTCTTGCTGTATAGCACAGGGAACTATATTCAATATCCTGTGATAAACCATAATGGAAAAGAATATGAAAAATGTATATAACTTAATCATACATTTGCCATACAGTAGAAATTAACACAACATCGTAAGTCAACTATACTTCAGTAAAATAATTTTTTTAAAAAGCACAGAGGTTAGGATGCATAGCAGCTAGGGAACGACAATCAGCTGTGTTCCTATGATATTTTTAACAGTCACTCTGGTGATACTGCAGAAAATGGATTTGATGCAGGTAAGACAAAGTAGGCCCATTAGGAAATGAGTAAAACAATCTAAACAAGAAATAATAAAGGCCAAAACATTCCTCCCAGTGGTGGTAGGAATGGACAATGCATTTCGCATCTTTTAGAAACTGAGTGGACAGGGGCACCATTAGCTAAGGTGGACAAGGAAGATGGGCGAGCAAGTCTGAGGTTTTGGTTATGCTATACTTAAGGGTATACTTACAGGCAGTCAAAGGAGAAATGTCTAACAGGCAATTTGACATGGATGTGAAGCCTGGGGAGAAGTTGGAGCTACGAGTCAGCATATGGCAATACTTAAAAACATCAATGGATGAGATCACCAAAGAAAGCATGCATGGCACTAAAAGCAGTTGGCCCAGGACCACAGAAGAATCAATTTTTAGAGGGAAGCAGAACAAGAGTAGCTGTCAAAGAAAGAAATAATCCGAGGTAGGAGGAAGACAGAGAGGATGGAATTATGAAAGCCAAGTGCATTTGTCAGGTTGAAACATTGCTAAACCTTTGTCTCCATGGTGGCAAGCCCACACACAATGCTGAAAACTGAAAATCCAAGACTTACCCATAAAGCACGTTATTTAGGGATATGGAAGTAAATGCCAAGAAATCAGCTAAGACCTAAAAGTGGTTGCCCTGGGGGAACAGTGGGGGGAGAATGGGAGGTGAGGGGTTTGGACCTATTCGTTTTTCTGAAAGTCTTTTATACTAGGTACAAACAAACAAACAAACCCCAAACACTTAAGTTCAAAGGAGAAGAGACTAGGATAGGTGGTACACTGTGTGTGAAAGTTCTGGGGTTTAATTAGTCACAAATATATGATCCAGGAGATTCGGCTACCCAGCAAGTCATTATAAGCTGCATTTACTAGAAGTACAATATCCCCATCCAAACAACAGACTGAACTTCTTAGATCACATCAGGAACACAGCATTCGCTTCTGGGTACCATGTTTTAAGAGGGTCTAAATACTATCAATTCTTCCCTCATGTCTTTCACACTCATCCTTTTTATCCTGGAGGCCCTACCTTGATTCAGGCTCTTAACACTTCACACCTAGGTCAAACCAAGAGTATCCCAACTGGTCCTTTTGGCTCTAGGCTACCCTACATCTTGTATGCAAATTATTTTTCTGAAAATCTATTTGGTTCCCATCACTCCCCTTCTCAAAAATCTTTCAGTTTCCTATTATCTGTCTATTTTGCAGGACATTTAAGATCTTTCACAAGCGGATCCCACGCTAACTCTTCACCCCAATGTCCTGCTGCTTTCCAAAATGAACTGTCAGCCCCAGTGAGTCTGGTACACTCGTGGTTCCCTGCACACACACCTCTTACATCATCTCTACCTCTGTGCCCTAGTTCCTGGGTCCTTGCTCCCATTACTCTTTGAACCTGCTCTTCTCTGCTTGTATGAGTGCCATTTATGTTAGTCAAGCTCCACGCTTCCTCTTGGGCTTTCCCTAGTCCCTTTTACTGCAGCGACATCTCTGTCCTCTGGACTCCCATATCACTCCCTATGGTGTCAACTGTTTCACAATTACCATATATATTAACAGAACGACTTTGCACTATCAATTAACTTTTCAAAATACCTTTTATAAGTATCAATCTTATAAGCCACAAGCTTAAGATGACCAACAATACTGGTCATCTTATGACAGTCACCAAGCATCTAGCTATACTTTTAAAGACACCAAAAACCAAAACATCTACTCCTCTAAGAACCGTGATCTTTTCCCCTCTGTGACCTCCTGGCATTCTGCACGTGTCTCCACTCCAGCACACACCATAGCATATGGATTTTATTAGTCCAAATCCCCCACTTCCACCTCACTACCCGGGTGTTACATAGAGGCAGGGATCTGTGGTGGAACAGAAACACAATCAATCTTTGATGAATTGAATCACTCACCCCACTGGCAGTTCTGATGGGTTTTGCCTTTAACTTGGGGACCAAGACCTTTCGATACTGAGGTGGGACTGCAGCAATGATATCCACCAGGCGGGGCTGTGCTGAAAGGCCATATTTGGCAGCTGTCCTGGTTTTCACCCTGAAAGTGAAGCATCTAGCATTATCAAGATCACAATATTTCAAGGACAAGCTACCAAACGGATAACCTATAAATAACATCATCAACTCCTTTCACCAGATGACAACAGTGGTTTTAACATTTGTAATTATCAGGGAGCTAGAACAAAACTCATGACTTCTTGTTCTCCAGAGTACCAGAAAGAAAACCAGATGACTACAGGGCGGGGGCCCAGGACAGTGATACAATGTAGGTCTCGTTCAAAGTAGTGCTCCAGCTTCGAAGGATTCTACCCTTTTCTCAGCTTCCACACTACTACATTTGGGATCAGATTAATTCTGTTGTGGGGGACTGTTCAGTACATTTTAGGATGTTTAGCAGCATCCTTGGCCTCTACCCACTGGCACCTCCTCCCGTTGTAACAACCAAAAATGTCTCCAGACATTGCCAAATGACTTGGGGGTGGGGATGGTCATGCCTGGTTGCAAAGCACTGCCTCAGGCCAACAAAACAAAACAAAGCAATTTAAAGCAAAGCTATGCAGAACCAAATAGGAGATAAAGTAGATATATTTTTAAAGCTTTAAAAGTTTTAAAACTTCTTCTAATTCAAAATATTATATAAAGAACAGAATAAAACATATAAATATACTCTAACAATTATAAAACAATCACTCTTGTAACCACATTCCAAGAAAGAGAATATGATCAGCACTTCAGAAGACCCATTTGCCCCTTCCTGACCGTAACCCTATCCCTAACCCCCAGAAGTAACCTTTATTCCAACTAATAACTCCTCGCTTTCCTCTATAATTTAGCAATTTTTCTTTTCTTTGTGGCTGCTAACCAAATCCTAATAGTCACTTTATCTTCTCACTTTAATCCATCTAGAAATATTATGGGGTGTTCAAATCATTTCAACAAATGGTTACTGAGTACCTGATAGGTACAAGAGACTACCTAAGTACTTGGTACATCAGGAGATGTAAGGCATAGCTGTTTCGTGCTCTATGTTCACGTTTGCATACAGGCATGCACAAAAATAAATCTACAAGTAATAAAAACATATGTATCAATAATAAAACACACACACAACAATGAATGATTCCAGAGCTCAAGAGAGGAACTCAATGTGTGCTGGGGAGATATTCAAAGAAAATGGGCACAGAAAAAAGATAGGCTTCAGACAGGCAATAAAGACACAAGAGATGACACCGAGAGCAGACAGGCTGGCTTATGTGAAGATGCAGAAACAGGATAGCACAGATTTTAAGAAATATGAGTAGACCAACTTAACAGAAAGCAGAAGGTTTTCAATATGAAGATATAGAAGTTTAAAAAGTTGGAAAAGTAAGTTGAAGCCACAATGAGAGGCCTTACATCATGGGCTGAGGAATGTGCGTTTAATTCCACAAGCACTGGGAATGTGCTGAAAGTTCCCGCACAGGGAAATGACGAAGGAAAATTAATCCGGCAAGACAGTAAAAAGAACTGAAAGCATAAACTACTGCAGGAGTCTAGACTTAAGTTTAAAAAGGAATGGAAGAGGAAGTTGGTGGTGAACATGAAACAGTTATAATGAAGAAACAGTAGGCAAAATTTTGACTCTAAGTGGACCTAAGGGAAAAGATTCAAAAATGACATTACAGTTTCAAACCTGGGTGAAGGTTAAAACAATTAGGCAAAGAGGACATCTGAGTAGGGGCTGGTTTTAAAGAAGATGCTAGCTTTAGCTTTAGATGTGCTAAATTAAAGAGAATGACAAAAATATACAAGAAGTAGAAATGTTCATGAGAAACAAAAGATTTGTATAATTAGGGGTATAGCCAACAAAGATGGGGGAAAAAACCCCACTGCTAAACACATGGTAGAAAAACCAATAAAATATAATGTCTTCATGGTATAAAAGAATAGTTACTAATTTATTCTTTAGCAAATGTTTATCAAGCACCATGTTCCAAGGAAGGGGTATAACATTGTAGTATCTCAAGTAACAGAAGACAGGGTCCAAAATAAGGTCATGTGCATAGTGACTAGACCATTGACGACCTGGGGACGGGGGGAGAACCCTTTCACTACAGCAGATCTGTATCACAAATATATAGTAAATAAATAAATGCAGAGAGGAAAGACCACTCTTATTTGAGGATTTAGCCAAGTCAAAGCTGAACATGGCTGTGGAGAGGAAGTGGATGAACGTGTCCAGGAGGTTCTGAAGTAGGGAAAGGCTGGGTTCGATCAAAGGGCCCCAAGA